AATTTGGACATTTTCACTTTGGGGTGTACTCACTTTTGTGGCCAGTGGTTTAGACATTAATGGCTGTGTGTTGAGTTATTTTGAGGGGACAGCAAATTTACACTGTTATACAAGCTGTACACTCACTACTTTACATTGTAGCAAAGTGTCATTTCTTCAGTGTTGTCACATGAAAAGATATAATAAAATATTTACAAAAATGTGAGGGGTGTACTCACTTCTGTGAGATACTGTAATTATTTCCATTATATCAAATGATGTTTTTATGAAAACGTTGCATGTATCTTAATATTTTAAATAGCCTTTCTTTCTTTTAGAATACTTCTCTCAGCATCTTGGAGAATATGAAAACGTCCTCGCTGCCTTGGAAGACCTGAACGTATCCATACTGAAAGCCATGGACAAAACCAAGAAGGTGAGTTGCCTTTGTTCAACAAATGGACTTGATCTCAATTACATACTTGACTGAAGCCACGTCTATAAGAAAAGATGGAAAATAGTTCCTTATCTAATGTATGTCTGGCCATCCTCCGACTGAAAGCGATGTTAGCTGCGTACTTGAACATATGTGACCTTTGTGTATTTATGGGGCTGCAGCCATTTGTGAGTAGGCGGCAGATAGACGTGATACCTGTAAGCACTAAAATTAGTATTCTGCATGCATTCCTGGAGGCTGTCAGTGTCTTATCTTAATCACACGCAGCATGTTCTCTGGCCCCTAATGCGGCCGTTAGGTGTGTCATTTTCTCTGAGTCGTAATAAAGCTGTTCACGCCGTGCACTGTGGGAGCTCTGAGAGTGGATGAAGATGGATCTGATCTAGTTCACAGCCGTGACACACACAGCCGTGCTGCTGCCCACAACCTGTCTGTCCTCAACATGCTGCTGGAGAGATGAAGCTGTTTGATCTCAATATGATAAAGTGCTTTATTCATTTTTCATTATTAATGTCGGTTTATTGATAAATGGATGTTATTTGTCAAGAATCAAAATCAGACTCTCAAAATCAAACAATTATGTGGCTACAAACTACAGTCTAAAACATTTTGTGTTTCTCACACAAACAAAATTGACTTAGTATTCACTGCAGTGTACCCATGTTTCTTCACTCAGGGGTACACCCAAGTTTAAAATAGCTGAGGACTGATGTTTGTGAACATTTGGACGTCACCCACAACATTATGGATCAATTTTGAGTTACCTTAAGAATCTTTTCATTTGTATGGTTCTATAAACTACACTCAAGCTATCATTTTATAAAAGACTGCTACACTACAGTCTTCTAATAAAAGTAGCTTAAACTTTTAATACGGAATTAGATGATTTAATACTTTAAAGTTATTTGGAAAAAAGAACAATAACAAACATTTTAATTAGGGTAAATCAGGGGTTATTATCATAAACTAAAACTTAAAATATTTTCATTACTTGAAATAAAATAAAAATGAACTGAAATAAAATTATATATAAAACCCTAAATTGAAAAGAATATATACATACATACATATTACACACACACACACACACACACACTAGTGATGCGCGGATGAGCTAAAACGTCACCCGAATCCGCAGCTTCAAATAAATTATCCACCCGCCAACCGCCCGCACCTGTATTTTTGTCTGATTTAGATAACCGCACCCGACCCTTACTAAAACTTTAACAAAAAATTAAACGAAAATAGAAATTGTAAGAATAAAATCTAATTTGAAATGTTAGTGATACTAAAATAACACTGGGGTGAATGCATTAAATAGCATTTAAACAGGTAATTTTATATAAAAAATACAGCCAATAAATATTTTCATTCATAATTTATATTACAAAAATGTGGTAGTACACAGCAGCATATATATTTAAGTAAATATATATGTAGTATATATGTATTTCACTAAAATAAATAAATAAATAGAGAATCAACTTTCTTGCATGGTTTGTAGCACATAGTTTTAATATTACTCTCCGTTTTAATATTATTATCCAACTATCCGTATGTGCTACAAACCATGCAAGAAAGTTGATTCTCATTGATTGATTTATTTTTGGACACTTTGTTATTCTTCTAGTTATTTGCCTATAGCAGCTAATGAAATGAAAATCTCCCACATTGACAGAAAATAGCTCACTTCTGCATATAAAAATAGGGTGAATAGTGATACACAGTGACAAAAACATTATCACATTACAATGGTATATTCTAAAAACTAAACTACTTTTTACACTACTAACTACTGTCACATTGTATATCAAGTAAAAATGTCGATACTTTAGGGTTGTTACTCCCCAACACTGGCCTCAATTTCCATCAAATGTTCATATACAAAAATTGAACAGAGATCTTGTATGTTTAAGCTATGATTTGTGGACAATAATTAATATTTGTTAATACGTGATTGTCACAGTAATTAACTTCAACAAATTACTATAATGTGCTTGGTTATTGCACCGCAATAATTATTATCTTTAAAACAGTTTGTATATTAGACACATGAATAACATCTAAAAACACATATAAAAGATATTTGAATACACTAAATCTCTCATGTTGAAACATAGGATGATCCGCTCACAGATGTATTGATTGAGTTATTGGCTGCAGTCTTACTCATATAGATGTGCAGTGCTGTCGGTGGTTATCAGCACTGACATTCTGGTCTGAACAGCAGCGTTTATCGTGCCGAGCGTCTGATGTCAGTAATGGGCACAGTCCACACTGACCATCAGAGGAGCGCGCAGGTACGAGCTGCGTGCTTCAGTTCCCGAGACTGTCTGCTGCCTCGCACAGACAATGAATTAGCCAAGCGCTGACTCCAGGCCCAGCAGACATGCCACTTAATGCATGTGAGCGTCTCAGAAATGGAGTCGTCGGCATGAAGGGCAGTGCTGTGTCATTTCATTATGCCGCTTGATTAGTGAGGCAGACAGAGGAAGTGAAACACGATTAATGAGTTCAATGGGACTTTTTTGTGAAAGACTACTGGCATTTGCTTCTGTGTTTTATTGCATGTCCTTAAAGCTTCAGCATTACTGTGTGAGCAAAAGAGCAGTAAAAACAAATGTGGCCGTCTGCTGAAGATGATGAGAGAGAGGTGCAAATTGCCATTGATTGTTTTATCACTGCATGGTTTAAAGGTTTAGGTATACGTTGACAGGTGCTGTCTTTGTTCAGACAGAATTCTTTTTGATTTGATACTGTTTTGCAATGTTCAAAGAGCATGAGGAATAACACACTACTCATTTAGAGGCAAGAGCCCAATGCCCAATATTAAACCTCAAAGAGAGGAACAGTGCAAGATGGAAAAGAACATAATTTGAATGCCTGTGTTTAAAATATTTACACAATTGTGTAGTTTTTGAACCTCCACAGGTTATAATTTACAGCAGTATGCACTAATCATAAAATATGTAAGGCAAAACACATTTCTAGGCATTAAAGTAATATTTAATATAAGTAATATTGTGAAATATTATTAACATTAAAAATAAATGTTTATTTTAAATGTTAAATTTTTTAAGATGCAAAGGTGATTTTTTTTTAGCATCATATCTCCAGTCTTCAAGGTCACATGATCCTTGCCACTCAAGAAACATTTCTTTTTATTATCAATGTTGAAAAAAATTTGTGCTGCTTTTATTTTGGCGGGGGGGGGGGGACACTGTGATACATTTTTGTTTTAAATAAATAGGAAATTCAAAAGAACAGCATTTATTTGAAATGCAAATCATACAATTTGTAACAATGATGAATTTGCAATGAAATTGTTGTTTTACAACATTTAAAATGTACAGTTCTCTGTTTTGGAAAAAATTTACAAAAATTTTGCTATAACACACATTAAATATAAATAATACTGACACGAGTTAGTGTAAAAGTTAATGAAATTGTTGTTTGACCACATTTAAAATGTACAGTTCTCTCTTTTGAGAAAATGGACCAGAATTTTGCTAACACACACATTGGATATTTATAATTTATTTGTTTATTTACTCATATAAGGAAAAGGGCAAGGTCTTTTGTACCTGAACCGATTTCTTGTTTTAATAGGAAATATCACAATGGAAAGAAAACTATGCATGTCTATGTCCATATTTAAAGGGATAGTTCACCCGAAAATGAAAATTCTGTCATTTCAATGTCATTCCAAACCCGTTAGACCTTCATTCATGTTCAGAACACAAATTAATATATTTTTTATGTAATCCAAGAGCTAATGTGACGCTCTATAAACATCAACGCAACTACCACATTCAAGGCCCAGAAAGGTAGTAAGTACATCGTTAAAATAGTCCATGTGACATCAGTGGTTCAACCATAATTTTATGAAGATACTAGAATACTTTTTGTGCGCAAAGAAAACAAAAATAATGTAATAAGTGGTCAAATCATGCTAATCACACTCTGACTTGTGGTGAGAAAAAACAAGGTGTTAACAAAGGTATTTTCTTTGATCTGTCTCTCTTCACACCACTTGGTAATGTGTACATCTCTATTGCATGAGCTCCATTAATCATGAACAACAACAGATAGTGATGCTGTATGGCAACAAATAGTGTTGTGTTTATTGCATAAGGCCACGAGTGGGTGGGCAAACCAGCTGCTGTGATGCATGTGTTCTCTGCCCTCCGGACAGGACTCTATAAACAGCAACCACACTTATGAACGTCATACTGTGAGCGCTCATATCATCCAGCCAATATCTCTTGCCTTTAGCTGGAGCCATGACAGATTTATAGCTCAAATATTAACAATATTTTTTTTTTATTGGTGATTTGATCTCCAAATGATGTTTTCATAAGAATGACATCTTTGTAACATGATTTGCTTACCTTATAGTATCTCATTTAGTCAGTTTACGGGATCACACATCAGCTTCAAACTTATGAAACAGCTTGTCATCGAAAGCAATGGAATATTATTTATTCATGTATTTATTGGTTGATTTATTTTCAGTCTTAAAAAGGGCATTAAACATGTCTATGCAGAGCAAAATGAATGTGCTTGCATTATTGTCACAATCACTATGATTATTCTGAAGAATTCAATTGTGATTTATGAGGTATCATTTGCATGCTGCAGACACTTTGTATTGATTGTCTGAATGTGTGTTTACGTGATACGTGATTGGCCGCTGTGTAAAATGTTGGCCTCAAGCATCGACACTGGAAGGAGAGATTAGTGATGCTTGCTGCTTGTTGAACAGCCTCAGGTTATGCAGGTCTTGGTTGTAGTGATTCATGCCGAGGTTATTGTAAAGGTCTGTGTGTTTAACCCACTTTGTAAATACACGCGTGTTGGTGGATCTGTTGGATTTGTGACTGTCGACATCTTGAGTAAGTTCATAATAGACGTGTGGTGCAGCACCTGTTTCATAACTGGATGCTCAGAAGAATTATGTGTCCTGTTAGCTGAGCGATGTTCTCGGCTTTGATAATGGCTTTTCTTTGTGACAGAACACGGTTGCTTTGGCGTGCAGCATAATTATAGAGGCGGCTGTTGATTCCTAACATTGAATAAGCGACGTACCGTGTGCAAATAACATACCCATGCAGCCCTGCCTTTGAGACTGCGGATGTGAAACAAAATCTCATCCAAAAAGATAAAAGAGGCTGATTGAATGCCATGATGCATGAACTATTTCAGTCATGTACCTGGATTGCAAGTATGTGGAAAAAAACGCTTAGCGTAGAGTGAAATGTTTAGGTTTAGGTAGCCTAGTTGTGTTTAAATCTTTTTATTAAGGTATTCAATGAAACAATCCAATAGTTATTGTTACATACCATGATTTCAGTTATATATATATATATATACATACAAACTGCTCCGTAACCTAGTTGTATTAGCTTGGCTCAGATGCATTCATTCAGCAGAAAAACCTACACTGAGCTTTTTGATTTTATCTGTTACAATTTCTTTGGGACTGTCGCTTTACATCCTGCCACTGTGAATGAATGTTACTTTTATTCTACAGTACTGTATTGTAGCGAATCAGCTCAAAGGGGGAATATGCATAATTAATCATAACTAGTTATAATTAATTATAAATATTTAGATCCGCTGTAAGTATTTACTTGACCTCTCAGGGTCAACTGTCTGTCAATTCTAAGAACG